TTCTTTCTTTCTTTCTTTCTTTCTTTCTTTCTTTCTTTCTTTCTTTCCTTCTCTCTGTTTCTCTCTCCCCTTCTTTTTTTACTTATTCACTGTAGTCCAATGAACAGTCACCATTTTATTATGTTTGTCATAAGCTTCTTATTGAAAAAAATTTTTAAGTTTATTTATTTTGAGAGAGAGAGAGAGAGAGAGAGAGAGAGAGAATGGCAGGGAGGGGCAGAGATGGAGAAAGAGAATCCCAAGCAGACTCTTCACCCTCATCGCAGAGCCCAATGTGGGGCTCGAACTCATGAACCTCGAGAAGATGACCTGTGCGGAAATCAAGAGTCGGATGCTCAACTGAGCCACCCAGGCGCCCCTGTCACAAGCTTTTATACACATAAAACATGTATATGAGAAGTGTACAAACTGTAAGGGTACACTTCATGAATTTTAGTAAAATGAACACTTCTGTATGTTATAGGCTTACAGAAAAGTTGCAAAGATAGTTCTCATATACCTCATACCCTGTTTCTGCCATTATTAACACCTTACATTATTATGGTATAGATGTCACAATTAATGAACAAATATGGACACACTATTATTAACTAAAACCCATAATTTATACAGGTTCTTTAGTGTTTTACCTAATGTCCCATCAGGGTGCCATATTACATTTAATTGCCATATCTTCTCAGGCTCCTCTGAGCTGTGAGAGTTTCTTTTTCTGAGACTTTCCTTGCCTCTGATATCCTTGACAGTTTTGAGGAGTACTGGTCAGGTATTTTATACAATGCCCTTTTAATTGGGATCTAAGAACTGTATTTTAATTATTGCTGGAATATTTAGAATTGTTAGCTCCTTTGAACATGTCACCAAAAGTGTCGGAATCAGAAAAGTATCTCAAACACAAAAAGTTTGAAAATCAGTTGTCTACATCAAAGCAGACTATAAGTATACATAAGTGAAATTGTCAAAATGTCTATTCTACCATTCAAACTTCAATTTCAAAAAGCAATTCAAACTTTCAATGAAATATTTCCCTCTTTGCATTTTAAAGGATTAACATCCAAATTAGGGAGCAGAAAGGATTACATCCTATCAATATGCACTCTGGTCATGGAAAAGCTGTTGTCAATACTCTAGTAATTAAATCCATGCAAGTTACAGACTTCATTGAAAAGCCTTTGACAAGAGTGAAGTCACTGATCACAAGTGTTTGTGGAGCACTTAACATTATTGGCAATGCTGTAAACGGTATATGGTTGTTTAGCTTCGTAAGAAAGATAATACCAGAGCTCAAAATTAAAATACCTGTATTGGAATACATACAGGCCTAAAGATGTGTTTTATGAACCAGAAAGTACTCACTGTGTTGGCCAGCTCCAGATAGCTTCCTCCTACAGAGCTGCCAAAATGCCGTGACTGTGTGAGCAGTTTGTGGAGGGCAGCAGCCTGCTGATGCAAAGAGCGTCCACCACACTCGAGAAGCTTCTGCAGGGCCCACTGACTTTGCAAGTCCGGGCTCTGGAGGTCCCTGGCACCGGAGTCATACTCCCAGCTCTCCCTGGCTGCTGACAGGGCACCTACATCCAGGAGAGGCAGGGGAAATAAAAAGATATTTCCTTCATTAGTCTCTGGGTGGCCAATAAGCAATGATTTGGAACCCCCTAAGCCTTCCACGTGCCAGCATGTCAGAACACACGCGGTGCCCAGACTGCAGGCTAAGTGCTTTCTCTTTCAAATTGACACCGGGGGAGCCTGGAGATAAAAGTGGTTTTAGGCAAATCATTCAGAAATAACTATCCAATGACTTTGTGCCCCCCAAACAGAATTACTTAGCAAAAAAGCACCAGAGAGCCAAGAAAAGGGAATCCGGAGCAAAGCCACCTCTGTCTGTGATCAGCCTTCTTTTTTAAAAAAAAAATATTTTTTGAGCATTTATTTATTGTTGAGAGACAGAGAGAGATGCAGAGTGTGAGCAGGGAAGGGGCAGAGAGAGAGGGAGACACTGAATCTGAAGCAAGCTCCAGGCTCTGGGCTGTCAGCACAGAGCCTGATGTGGGGCTTGAACTCAGGAACTGTGAGATCATGACCTGAGCTGAAGTCAGACGCTTAACCGACTGAGCCACCCAGGTGCCCCTCTGTGATCAGCCTTCTTACTGTAAACCTTTTCTCCTGGTTGAGGAAGAAGGGAGCAAGTGAGAAGACAAAAAGTTAAGATATGGCACTTTATCATGATTTTCTCTCTCCTGGAAGTAGCTACAGGAAGCTGAACCGTGTTTGCCAGTTAGGTGTGGCCATGCAGCTGAGTCCTGAGCAGAAGGTGAGCAGAAGTGACAAGCATCGCTTCAGGGCCCGGCTCCCAAAACCACCGGCGTGCGACTCTCCATGCCCTTTGCCTTCCGGCCTGGTGCAAATGGCCAGGCACCCTTGGAAGACATGTGGTACAGATGGTGAGGCCGTAAGATGGACGATGCCCGAGTCCCTGAATTATCTCTGGCAGCAGGGCTGGCTGCCCATCTCAGGCACCCTGCTTCGACTTCATGTGATTAGAAAAGGGAAATTCCTTTGGTGTTTGAGTCACGGCATATTTTTTATTTGTTTCTCAGAACAGTTAGTATGACCTTAACTGTTACAACAGATCTAAACCTAATAAAAGATGCTAATAATTACGATACAATGACAAAGTAGACCTGGAAAGGGGTGGGGATGTTCAGGGAAAGCTTTCTGGAGGAGAAAGCCTGATGCTTCAATTGTCCCCTTGGCTAGAAAAATTAGATTTGAGGCATAGTGCTCTTCTTTGTGTTGCTCACTTCTGAACAGAAGACCCTTGGGTGCAGCTGGCTGGTAGAGTCTGGGTCACGTGCCTCTGTCTCAGCTGCAAGGGAGGCTGGGAAATTTGTTTCCTGGCTTCGACTCTGGGGAGGCAGGGTTTGTAAGGTGAGACCTTTCCTAAACATAGGAGTGATTCAAAATGCCTGGGCAGATAGAAAACATGACAAAGGTCTATACACAGACACTGTGCCCGGTACTGGGGATGAAGCAGTGAGCGCAACAAACTGTTGTTCCTGCCCGTAAAGTTTTCATATTGGTGCATCTTCAATACGTGACTTTTAATGGCAAAAACAGGGGGACTCATTAAAATGATTTAATTTGTACTATGAAATGAGAACATATACAGATTACTCTATAATTTATTTGAGTGTAATTACATATAGCAAACTACAAATTATGTTCATTGGTTTCTGATATGAACATCCAATCTTCCCTTAATAGGTATTGGTGAGTTTAATCAATATGATTGGGTAAACTGTCTTTGTCTGGAGCCACCCCTATGGTTCATGTTCTGATCTTCTTCAGTCAGTTTGACCCAACACTCTCTCTCTGTCTCTCTCTGTCTCTCTCTGTCTCTCTCTCTCTCTCTCTTTTTTAAGTAGGCTCCATGCCCAGCATGGACACTGACCCAGATGCCCCAGACCCAACACTTCTTTTGTACAGTGCTGTATGGCTGGAGCAACAGTCTTTGTATCAAAGCAGACAATCAAAGCAATCACTATGTTTGCAATTGTTTAAAGTTTCTTTTAATATTAAACTGTCAGCTGTATTGCAAGGACAGTTTTGTTTTCCTTCAACATAGACTGCAATAGGCCTGCCCTCCCTCTGCCTGCTCCTCTGAGTGATTGCTGCCATTTGTCTAGCGCCTCTCATTCTCTGTCCCAGCCCAGCAGCATGTGGCAAGAGGACTGGCAGAGGTCAGAGCTGAAAAGTGGGTTGAATCACAGAGGGCCTTCTATCTCCTATATAAACAAGCATGGGCATGGACCCTTGCCTTTATGTTCCACCACAGGACCCAGTACCTTGCACACACACAGCCTGAGACAGCAGGCATTTAATATACATTTAGTGAGTGGATGGCTGAATTATCCATGGTTGTGGTACCATAGGGTTTCACTTATTAACAGGAAAAGCAACATGAAGATTAATTTTTAAAATCAAAATAAATTATACACTTAAACTTTATCTCTATGCAAACAGGGAGCCTCGTTTTCAAATAATAAAATACAGCAGTTGTGGGATAAGACGGCCCAAGGAAGCTTCATTTGAATTTATGATGCTGTACTAACAGACCTAAACCCAGTTTCTGACAGAGTCATATAATCAGGTTAGCCAAGCTCCATGTTAATCAGCAAGATCAAAAGGCCCTCACACTATTACATAACAATTTTTGCTGAAGTGATGCTGAGGAACTCAGGTCTTCTGCTAAGAAGTCAAGTCAATCACATTAGCATCCACATAAATGGACCCCAGAAAAGGAAGTGCACATTTAAAATACAGTACACAGGGCGTCTGGGTGTCTCAGTTGGTTGAGCTTCTGACTTCGGCTCAGGTCATGATCTCACGGTCTGTGAGTTTGAGCCCCGCGTCGGGCTCTGTGCTGACAGCTCAGAGCCTGGAGCCTGCTTCAGATTCTGTGTCCCCCTCTCTCTCTGCCCCTCCCCCGTTCATACTCTGTCTCTCTCTGTCTCAAAAATAAACATTAAAAAAAAATTTTTTAATAAAATACAGTACGCTATTCCCATTACTCTCTTTCAATCTGATTTTTCTGGATATAAAACCAACATTCTGGAGACAAAATTAGTAAATTGGGATGATCTCACTGAAAGCCATCAACAGTGTAGGTCTGATAACTGTCTTCCTCCCCCCCACTTTTAAAAATTCATTTATTTTTGAGAGGGGGAGAGGGGGAGACAGGGGGAGAGAGTGGGAGAGAGGGGGAGAGAGGATCCAAAGCAAGGCTCTGCACTCACAGCAGAGAGCCCGATGTGGGGCTCAAACTCACAAACTGTGAGATCATGACCTGAGCTGAAGTCAGATGCTTAACCAACTGAGCCACCCAGGCACCCTCATCTTCCTTTTGCCCTTTGAAATATCATGATGCCTGATGTTTCCAGGCTCACACTCAGCCTCTTGTTGGCCCCATTTCACTCCTTTGCTAACCTCAAGAAAAGCCTGTTGACCTCAGGGAGATGGCTGTGCTTCTTTTTCTTCACATGGATACCATTACAATTCTACTGTCTCCCTGTGCTCACCATGCTCTCTGGTCTCTTCTAATAAGGACACTGATGTCATCATGAGGGCACCATCATTCATGGCCTCGTCTGACCCTAATTACCTCCCAAAAGAAACATCTCCAAACCCCATTACATTGAGGAGTTAGGGCTTCAACCTATGAATTCCAATGATGAGCTGCTGTCCGGGCCACTTAGGAAACCGACAGCATGGCATCCCTTTAAAGACCAAAGGCCAAACCACTGCCTGGGCCTAGAAATCTCTGCACACACAGAATCAAAGAAGGCCATCATTTCTGCCATGATAATTCTTTAAAATTTTTTTTTAATGTTTATTTATTTCTGAGACAGAGAATGAGTGGAGGAGGGGCAGAGAGAGAGGGGGACACAGAATCTGAAGCAGGCTCCAGGCTCTGAGCTGTCAGCACAGAGCCTGATGTGGGGCTCGAACTCACAGACTGCAAGATCATGCCCTGAGCCGAAGCCGGACGCTCAACCGACTGAGCCACCCAGGCGCCCCTGCCATGATAATTCTTTAGGGCAATCTGAAGTAAGGGATGAGGTGTATTCTTCTATTTTAAATGTTTAAAGGCGGCAGGCACATATTCTAAATGTTTCCCTGATCAGAAAAGCACAGAAAACAAGTGGCATTTTAACATGTTTATAAAATACATCATTGCAGAAACCCTGATCTCAGAGAAATGATGAAACAGAAAACCTGCCACACATGAGACCTTTATTCTGCTGGGTACATGGCAGCTATGAGCCAGTGCTCTAATCCCACCTTCAAAGTGTCACCCAGCTTCAGGTCCGAGGCCTGCAAATACTGTGCCTATTCACCAAAGGCATTGAGACCTTCCTAGTAGGCCAAACCCCCCATGAGGATAAGGCAGGACAAAGCATTTAAAACACCTATAAGTTGGGTGCCTGGGTGGCTCAGTAGGTTAAGCATCTGACTCATGATTTGGGCTCAGGTCATGATCTTGCAGTTCCTGGGTTTGAGCCTGCTTGGGATTCTTTCTCTCTCCCTCTCTCTCTCTCTCTCTCTGCCCCTCCCCTGCTTGTTCTCTCTCTCTCTCTCAAAATAAATAAATAAACTTCCTTTAAAAATTTAAGAAAAAAACACCTAGAAGTCACCTTAAAGATAGCAACAATTTGGGGTGCCTGGGTGGCTCAGTCGGTTGAGCCTCCGACTTCAGCTCAGCTCAGGTTATGATCTCATGGTTTGTGAGTTTGAGCCCCGCATCGGGCTCTGTGCTGACAGCTCAGAGCCTGGAGCCTGCTTCAGATTCTGTGTCTCCCTCTCTCTCTGACCCACCCCCGTTCATGCTCTGTCTGTCCCAAAAATAAATAAACATTTAAAAAAATTTTTTTAAAAAGCGACAATAATCATGATACCTAACATCTACTCAAAGCCACTAGGAGCTGGGCACTGTTCTAAGTATCTTCCATATATTATCTCATTCAGTTCTACCCACAGCCTATGAAAGACAAAATCATTTTTCCCAGTTTTAGAAGAGGACGTTTTCTCTCTTTCAGCTTCATTTTGTAGACATTGCCCGTTTGCATAGGATAGTGGTTAAGAGCTGGGGTTTTGTAGTCAAGTTGCTTGGGGTCAAATAAGACTCACCATGACCAGCTAGCTACGTAACCTCAAGCAAATTATTTAAACTAAGCCCAGGTTTCTTCATCTTTAAAATGGGGATCATAACATGTTCTTCACAGAGGTGTTGTGAGAATTAAACAAGATAAAAATATGTAGAAAATTTAGACAATCCCTGGCACACAATAAACTGATCAATGAATGTTAGCAATCATCTGGTCACATCTCACAATTTTAGTTATTTGGAATCCATTTTGAATAACTCCATAGGGACAAACATAAGGGAGAAATATATACTCTCTCCCAGCTTTTAAAGGTTACCTGTTGAAAAACAAACCTTTGGCACCTAACCAGTGGCTAAAATTTCATCAATGATTTTATACTTAATATTAGGCTATTGTAAAGAAAAGAGCCAATTAAGTCAGAGCCAAAGTTATATTTCTCTGAGTAAAGAATACTCCATTAGTAACTCAAAGTCTTTGGTTATTGGGTTTGAAAGACTTTGCTTCCCTATTCTACTTGGCCTACTCTAATCTCCAGAGGACAACCCACCTTCCTAAAACTGGTGGCAGCAGCTCAAAAGCAGAACAAGTATGAGTTATTCATCAGATCTGTGCTCTGGCTGCTCTCACCACTCCTCTGTTTTCTACCTGCATTTCCTTCTTTTCTATTCTTCATTTGAATGTTGGGGCCTCAAATCACATTATGGGCAGATGATAATGCAGAGTGGTTAGGGGGTCCCGAGACCTGTATTAATAGCGTCCTATGATACTGTCTGTATCTAGTGATCGTTAATTTTTCATTTCTGTGGATTATTTAGACAACATTACCTAATTTATTCCCTTAATGGCAAGAGAGAAAATACTCCTTTCAAAACACCAGGGGCAGCTACCTTTCTGAATTTAGACGTACCACACCGATAGAAAGAAGCATGGGAGAATTTGAACAAATCAGCTTCCAGGTGTCAGCCTTCCCTGTCATAGCACATTTACTATTCCCAGAT